TCGGTGTTGGTAGTAATTCTCAGTTTACAAAAAACCATATCATGATCTGACATACCATGCACCTCATACACACCGCTGTCCTCCACTAAATTAGTGTTAGAAATAAATATTAAATCCAATAAAGTAGCAGACCGCGCTGCACTTCGTGTAGGGTCAACAATTAGCTGCTTCAAATCAAAGGGTTCCACCATGTCCATTAATGCGGTGGTTGAAACATGATTACATTTCAAAATATCAATATTTAAGTCACCAGTTAAGATGACTGTATCCGCCATTGGAAATAAATTTGAGAGTGTGGATTCTAATTCATTCAGAAAAACCCTATAGTTCAAATTCGGTGGTCTATAAACTGTACCGACGGCAAAACTAATACCCCGTGCTCGGAAGGAAACCCACAGCTGCTCAATTTCATCTGACGTATCAAGGACTCTCGATTTTATATTTTGTTTAATGTATGCCGCCACCCCTCCTCCTCTACCATTTCTATCCCTTCGGATTAAAGTGTAGCCATCAATAGTAATATCAATCGACGGAATCGCGTCTGACAGCCACGTTTCACTTAACATAAATATATCGTATATATATGAAGATGTTTGAAGAGGAAGCGTTAAAACAAAGTCCGTGGAAACCGAAGCTATGGCTCCGTTACGTTGATGACATTCGTGATCTGGCAACATGGAAAAGAACAACTCCAGGAATTTCTAGACCACCTCAATTCACAGCACCCCATGATAAAATTTACCATGGAAACAGAATCTGTAAAACAGTAGCCATTCCTGAATGTGTTGGTAACTAGAAAGACAGATGGGGGTATGGAACTGGGAGTATATCGAAAGAAGACACATACGAATAGTCGAGTCTTCTAGGTCAATACTAATCGGCGACTATCCCCTTCACATTATCTTCTGTTATTAAAGCAATTGTCAAGTAGTGGTCGGAGTCTATATTGTCTCCCCAGTAACTCCTGCTGTTAATAATGTCAGTTGCAAAATTATATCTTTGTTTTATTCACGTTCAACTAGAGAAAGAGTTTTACATCACCATGTATACTAACATCTTTAACATATTTAATTAAAGTGACATAATGAACTCCGACAAATTTATGGAATTAGAAATTGAAGAATTAATCGAGCTATTAAGCAAAGATTCATTATCAATTAAAGCAGAAAGTCAAGTATTTGAATGCGCAATTTCTTGGATAAAACACGATCAAAAAAGAAGAAAAGTTTATATTGCTAATATAATAGGATGTATTCGAATGAGTTTGATACCAAGAATCTATTTGAATAATTGTCTGCTTCAAAATGAATTAATTAAGAACAATCATGAGCTTATTAATAAAGTTCAATCGCAATTTACGTTAGAAGCAAAACCTCGGAAAGACGGAAATGTGTTGCTGGTTATGGGCAAATCACCACAAGATCATTATATGTTTTTTTTTCCTATGTTAATTAATAATTATATATTAAGGGTAGACAGAAGTTTTGCTCTTATCTTACACGATATATTATTCTTTTTTTTTTGTGGAATATTTTAACTTTAAAATAGATACCTGGCACAAAATGCCTACCATAACTGAATCTCTTGACCAAATTTCCTTTAGTTATATAAAAGACGTACTGTATGTGGTTTATAAAATATACTCAGGAAGTAACATTATAATTGCAAAATACGACTTAATCACAGGAATATTATTTGATCACAAAACGTTAGGAAACCTTAAAACGTCATTTGAAGAGGTGATCATTTCGAACGCGTGTGAAGTTGGCCATAGATTTCAGCCATAGATTTTAAACTGAAAAAAATGCGTGATCGGGGTATTCAATCGATCTAATTTCAACGGCATCGTATTCATGGTCGCCTNTGTATAAATCAGATAGTACTATATTTTCTGTTCATTTATTAATAAATTTTCTGTTCATGGAAACATTTGTTTTTTTTAAATATAATGCTAACTGTACGGTTATGGAAAATAAACAAACTACGAGATAACTCGTACTTGGCGTCCTAGGCCAGAACGTACACTACGAGTTATCTCGTAGTTGGCAGTCAACGTGTTAAGCTCGAATTCACTGGTGTACAACTCTTGACAATTTGTTCTTTCCCGAAATAATCCGTACCTACTCGTCCGTGGTCGTTCCAACTCGTTCTAACTCGTACCAGACTGTATTTTAAACGGGGCGAGAAGTACTACAAGAAGATTTTCTTCCATCTTTTAGATTTAGCGTTATGGAACTTATTTCAATTCTGCATCCCTAACCAAGGTGGGCTGACCTTCCAACGTTTTTCTTCCTCACAGACTTACTGGACGGCATTTTCTGAGTAC